GGTGGACAGAGATAATGGAAAGCTTTGAAAACTAGACAAGGAGCCCTTGAAGATTTTGATTAAGAAATGGCCTTTTTGTTCTAGGTACAATAAAGCATTCTTGTACACAATTAGGCTAGTTTAACAGTTACATATATTAAATGAAATGGATAGTCCATGAAAGCACTTAGCAGAATGCCTTGAGCACATAGTAGTCACTCGGAAAATATGAATTGAATCTGAATTCTCTAAAGAACTTGTAAGCTCTTTGCCCTGAAGATAAGATATGAGCAAGGAAGGAGTGCTCTAATAGTGCTGTCTAATAGAAGTATGAGTGAATATGAACCACCAGTGTAACCTTAAATTTTCTAGTAGTCACATGAAAAGCTAAAATGAAAGTAGTGAAATTAATTTTAGTAATATATCTTCTTAAGCCCAGTATTAATATTTTATATATTTTGATACTAAGTTTTCAAAACCCATTGTGTATTTTACACTTACAGCACCTCTCAGTTCTGACTAGCCACATTTCATGTGCTTGGTAGACACATGGGCTAGCAGCTCCCATACTGGACACCACAACTCCATAATTTCATAGCATGGAACCTGGCGTCAGCTGACCTGGGTTTGAATGCTGCCATTCTATTCCTTAACTGTGTGAGTACAGACCAGTTACTTCACCTTTCTCTACCTTAGCCTCTTGATATATAAAATGAAAAAGAATATTACCTACTGCAAAGGATTGCTGTGGGAGTTATGAAATAATAAATACGAAGCATATTACTTTGTTTCTGGCAAGTAGTAAGTGTAAAATAAATGATTTTTAATTTCATCACACTCTTATTGTTGTTAAATAGCCAGCATCTCTTATTTTTCATCTTTTTGCAGTCTTTTTACTGCACATAATTGATACTCCTCACCCATACATTCCCATTTAAAGTTCTAAATCAATCACTAAATAGCAAAGAAAGATTGTGAGTTAGAAGAAAAAAGGTCGTGAGTGGTATACATGTGGCATTAGACTTTGCTATTACTACTGGTATTCCTTTATAGGGTATAGATAAATTATTTTCACTTTGCTGTTATATTTAACAGACTGATCAGATCTTTTCACTTTTAACCTAGCATCGTTATAGATGCTTCATCTTCTAGGGTGTGAAATTCATGTCTAATAAAGTTTTATTGCCAACATTTAAATACAGAAAGTATTTCATGGCATTTGCTGCTTTCATCAATTTGTGGCCAAAATATATAGACGTACTCTTTTCTTTCCTTCTAAACCCTGAGAGGAAAGTGCACAAAACAAAAAGGTACAGTAATCTATCACACCTTATTGTGTAGCTATTATGTAATTCAAAAAATTAAACATTGCCAAATTTCTAAAAGATCCCCTTGTACCGCCTGGCAATCAATAGCTTTTCCACTTACCCACCAAATTAACCACTGTTCTATTGCTAATGTTGTTTACTTCCTGGTTTTTCTTTATAGTTTTACCAACTTAATAATCAATTTAGTATAATTTTGCCAGTTTTTGAATTTTAATATAATGAAATCATACATATAATTCTTCATTCAACCTATTGTGAAATTCATCCACATTCTTGCATGTACTAGCAATTCATTAACTTTTATTGTTGTGTGGTATTTCCCTGTATGAACGTGCCACAGTTTATGTATTCCATGGTGATGGACATTGGTTTTTCTCCATTTTGGAGCTATTATAAGTGCTGTTATGAATATTCTTATGCACATAAGCATGCATTTCTGTAAAAACACCCAACGATAGAATTGCTAGGTCATATAGATATAGAAGGCAGTCTTGAAGTTTAATAGGTAACGTCAGAATTTCCACCGTGGTTCTACCAATTAACATTGCTACCAGTGGCATGTGAGAATTTCCATGGCTGTACATTCTTAACAACAAAAATGGCCATTTTTCCCAGTTCAGTAATTCTAGTAGGCGTGTAATGATATCTCATTGTGACTTTATCATTTTTTTCTAAGAAAAATTTGATGGGAAAATATTCCTGCTAGTATTGATTAAGATGAAGGCTTTGGTTTCCAATTTTCCATGCTGTCCTTGCCTTTTAATACCACAATCAAGAGTTGGTGATATTTTTTAGAAAGTGTATTTAATTTTTTTCAATTATATATTTCAATTACAGTTTACATTCAATATTATTTTGTATTAGGTTCAAGAAGCATTTTAAATTTAAATTTTTTCTTTTTTTCTTCTTTCCTTTATTCCCCTCCTCCCTGTATCTGCCTTCCAGCATCTCTTCCCCCACCTTAGTTCATATCCATGGGCCATACATACAAGTTCTTTGACTTCTCCATTTCCTGTACTCTTCTTAACTTCTCCCTGTCTGGTTTGTACTTACCATTTATGCTTCTTATTCCCTGTGCCTTTTCCCCCAGTCTTCCGATAACCCTCCATGTGGTCTCTATTTCTGTGACTCTGTTCCTGTTCTAGTTGTTTGCTTAGTTTGTTTTTGTTTTTGTAGCTTTAGGTTCAGTTGTCAAAAGTTGTGAGTTTGTTGTCATTTTAGTGTTCATATTTTTGATACTCTTTTTCTTAGATAAGTCCTTTTAATATTTTATATGATAAGGGCTTAGTAATAAAAAGTACTTTAAATTTTAATTGGATGCATGAAAGCGGTAAGTTTGAGATATTACCCAGTATTCTTTCTTTATACTTTTTATTGGCTTATCTGAAAAACAGATGTATTATTTCTCTTCATAATTATTAAGCTGCCACACCAGGAAGCATAACTATTACTAAAGTGAGAAGTATAATCTATGGTTTACAAATCTGGATTCAGTGAATAAGCCTTTCCAGTTCTTCTGAACCATTTTTTTTTGTTAGATTTTTTTTTAAATAAAGTATAGTCATGGTAACTGATCTGGATGATGTTGAGTGGCTGGTTTCTGTTGAGTGAAGTAAAACAGACTTTTAACAGCTCATGGGTAATGTCTGAAAGGTAAAGTGACATGAGATAAATGTCTGTGTTCCATTCTGAAAATAGCAAAAGGCATATGGAACCAAGATTTAACTTCATTGGCTAGTAATTTCATCCTGCTTTAAAAGTACTTTGGCAAAATGAATATTGTACTGTGATTTCTTTTTGTACAGTTAATAGTAACAATGGAAAATTATTAGAAGTTAAAGGTTTGAAAGTTGTAAATGCCAATTCAGTTATATAAATAATGTTTTAGTTTGTGCACGCATTTCAAAAGATCATATATGCCCTGAAAGGAGAATAATTGTAGTTTTTCTGGATAATTGAGTTTCCAGAAATACCAATCTTATAGCTATTTATAAATGTAAAACAATTGTGTTGTTTTGTTCCCAAATTTGATGAAAAATTAAAATTTCTGAAAGAACATGTATTTTTGAAAATAGAATCATTCAACCTCAGATTCCATTATTCATTTAGTAGTTACAAGGATTTTGAGTTGACAAGTTAGATATTTTTAAAGGATTACTGTAAACTTCAGTTGAGAACAATTTTAATTTAAACTTAGAATATAAATGGTTAAAGTGTAAACCATGGTTTTACCAGATATAAAGTAGTAAAAAATATGCTATGTATATGGTTATTTTTGATACTTAATAGGAATCAACCTTGTACCAATTATGGCTTATTTGCATTTCTGCTTGACTAGAGCTTAGAATATAAATTGGTTTAAAAACTTTTGACTTTAAAATACATTAATGGTTTGGATTTTTAAAAATCTTACACTTCCAGTATAAAATTACAAAATGTCTATTTTTTCTGGTACTTGGAACTTTAAAAGGGCCTGGGAAATTTCTGGTAAAGGCAATGAATTTTATTTTAGGAAAAACGATGCAATAGAAATTTGAATGAATGAAAGCCAAAGGGAGTTCTGGTTTCTTTTTAAAGAAGATAAAGTATCCGACAAAGTTAGCAGATTGAGAATCAAAATAAGAAAAATTTGAATATAGTTTATTGTTTTCTTTTTCACACTTGTGATAAAATTTGGAGCATACCAATTGTTTGCTACAGTGTGGTCATTCGGTAAGCAAGTACAGTATTTGAAAGTTGAATGTTAACAGATTCCTGATGATTGTATGTGAAGATATTGGCACCCACATTCAGAATGTTGTGTATTGATATAGGTTAACTATTTGAAAATATATTAAACTTTTCCAGGCCTTTAAAATCATTGGAGCAGTTATATTTGACCCTCAGGCAAGGAGAATAAGTGTGAAAGACCTAGATCTCTTCACTTTTGGACTTTTTAGTGTTTAAAGTGTTTTATTTATTTATTTTTAGAGAGAGGGGAAGGAAAGGAGAAAGAGTGGGAGAGAAACATCAATGTGTGGTTGCCTCTCATGTGTCCCCAGGCATGTGTCCTGACTGGGAATGGAACCGGCGACCCTTTGCCTCACAGGCCCATGCTCATTCCACTGAGCTATACCAGCCAGGGCCTTTTCAGTGTTTTAAAGCGGCCTTAAAGACCAGAAGAACTGAGATACCTTCTTCAATTGTTATAATTGATCAGTTTATCACAACTGAGAGGCTGGATAACATTTTATGTTAATAATTTGTTTAATTTGACTGAACCTACCAGCTTGTTCAATATGAGCAAGGCCACTTGGAACTAAATTACTGTTTCATACTGTCTTTGGTAATATGCTGATTTTACCATGTAGAGTAGATTATCTAACTCCAGTTATTATATACCAATTAAGTTATTATATACTCAGAAATGTTTTTAATCCAAAATTAAATTTAATCCCCCTTTAAAGCAAAAATGTCTACTTTATAGCACTTTCTTTTCTGGCAGTTTTTTTACAATCAGATAAACAAAGAATACACTTTGAGAGTCTTCTCAGATTATGTCCCATTAGTTTGTTTTGTTTTCCTTTTAGGCTGCAGTAGTCTATATTAAGAAAGACTGGAGTAAAAAAGAAAGAAGGAAAACCAACTATAGAGTATGAAATATGGCAGTGACAAAGAATATCAGTTTCTAATTTTTCCGTATTTGCTTTTAAGATAAAGATACGGATATCACTATGAAGGAGAATGTGGATGACTTTGGCCTACGAGACACCTTGAGTATTGCGTCAACCGATTCTTTTGCTTCAGCAGCAGAGGTAGGACATGTATGTTCCTAATGAGGATTCCTCATTCTTTTTCAGCTGGAGAGTACAGTTTTGCCATTGTGCTGTAATTTAGTTCAGTAGCCATTTATTTAGCATGTGGTATATATCAGGAGACAAAGATGAATATACATGAATGTAAGTTCTCACCAGACCTCATTGTTTCTTGAGAGAGGTGGACATGTAAGCACATACTGTAAATGGTCACTTTTATACATTGTAGATTATGGGTGAGTCATGTCATTACCTTAATGGAGAGCAGTCGACCTTATATCAAAAGTCTTAAAACTTGTTCAGGTTTTTCAACTCAGAAATCTTACTTCTAGATGTTATTTTTTTCCAAGGAAGTGATCAGATTAAAAGATTTATATATAAAAATATTCACTTTGGCATTTTAATAATGAAGAACTAGAAACAGTCTAATGCCACATTATGTATGGTACATCCATAATTTGAAACAGTGTAATGTCATAAACATGTTTGTAATCATTTTTAATAACGTGGAAATGTGTTAAGTGAAAGGAGTAGTACATAAAGCAGTAGATAGAGAGTATGATTGTGATTTTGTATTAGGAAAAGAAAGAAAAATGTGAGTGCCTAAATATATAATTTTTCTCTACCTAAATGTGTAATTATTTAGGCAGAGAAAAAAGGCTAGATATAAATACACTAATGTATAAATAGTGGTGATCACTGAATTATACATTTTTTGGTAATGTGTTTTCTCCTGAGAATTAAATTTTGTATCAGAAGAGAATGCTTACAAAATGGTGATCTTTTTATATTTTTTCTACTTAAAACAGTTGTAAAAATCATATATGGCCACTTTTACCTTAGAATAATTTCCTTTCTGGGTAGATTTAGGAAATTAATACTGTTTAAAACTGTTATATTTTAAAATATAAATAGTATCACACATGTGTAATCGATGTATGAATTTATGCTATAGTGTGGGAAGCTTTAGGTATTCTAATACCCTGGATCTAAGCCTTAATTCTTCTTTTTTAAACACTTTGGTGACCGTAATCTTTCATCCTGTCAAGATTTTTCTTATATGTATATTTTAGCTGTTGCTTACAGTATCATCTCCTGAATTGTGTGTTAATTTTCTTATATTTTTATACTTGTATGTTTTCAACAGACAGAACATATGATCTTGTTTCATGGGAAAGCTATTTACTCTTCCTTTAACTATTTGATGTAGACATTTTTTTCTCTTTTGTGTATGTTCTTTTCTAGCCTTATTAAGATATAATTGACATATAACATTATGTGAGTTTAAGGTGTACAGTATAATGATTTGATACACATATGTTGTGAAATAATTACTACAACAAGATTGGTTAACAATTCTATTACCTCACATAATTACCTTTTTTGTTGTTGGCAGAACAATTAAGATCTACTCTCTGAACAACTTTTAAGTATATAATACAATATTATTAACTATACTTGCCATACTATACATTGAGATCCCCAGAACTTATTTATTTTCTCACCAGAGGTTTACACCCATTGACCAGCATCTCCCCATTTCCCCCTCCACTTAGCCCTTTGCAACCACCATTCCACTCTGTCTCTATGGGTTTGGCCTTTTTAGATTTCACATGTAAGGGATGCTGTATATTATTTGTCTTTCCTGTCTGATTTATTTCATTTAGCATATAGCGTCTTTGCATTCCATCCATATTGTCTCAAATGGCAGGATTTTCTTCTTTCTAATGGATGAATAATATTTCATTGTATATATAAGTATATCTGTAAGTATATATATATCTATATATATATACACATACACACATACACACCACATCTTCTTTATCCAGTCCTCTGTTGATGGACACTTAAGTTGTTTCCATACCATGGTTGCTGTGAAAAATGCTGCAGCGAATGCAGGAGTGCAGATGTCCCACAACAGTGATTTTTATTTCCTTTGGGTATACACCCAGAAGTGGGATTGAGGGATCATGTGGTAAATCTGTTAAATATTACTTTTTCGAGGAACCTCCATATTGTTTCCATAGTAGCTGCACTAATTTACATTCCCACCAACAGTGCACAACTGTTCCCTTTTCTTCATATCTTCACCAACACCTGTTATCTCTTGTTTTTTAAAATAATAGGCATTGTAACAGGTCTGAGGTAATATCTCATTGTGGTTTTGATTTACATTTCCCTGTTAGTGATGCTGAGCAACTTTTCATGTACCAGTTTGCCATTTGTGTCTTCTCTGGGAAAATGTATTCAGGTCCTCTGTCCATCTTTCAGTTGGATTGTTTGGGTTTGTTTGTTGTTTTGCTGTTCAGTTGTATGGATTCCTTATGTATTTAACCCCTTATCAGATAGATGGTCTATGAATATTTTTCCTCATTCTGTAAGTTGCCTTCTCATTTTGTTGTTTCTTTTGCTATGCAGAAGCATTTTAGTTTGATGTAATCTTACTTGTTTATTTTTGCTTTTGTTGCTTGTGCTTTTGTGAATTGAATGCATCCACAAGGTCGTTGTCAAGGAGCTTTTCTTGCCAATGTCAAGGAGCTTTTTTCCTTTATTTTCTTTCAAGAGTTTTATAGTTTCATGCCTTATGTTTAGTTTTTAATCCATTTTGAGTTAATATTTGTTGAATGATGTAAGATAGGGATCCAGTTTCATTCTTTTGCATGTGGTTCTCCAAATTTCCCACCACATTAAAGAAGCTATTCCTTTCCCACTGAGTATTCTTGCCTCCCTTGTTGTATATTGATTGACTTGCCCTGGTTGAGTGAGTTGGTTGGAACATCATTCTGTACACCAAAGGACTGTGGGTTCAATTCCAGGTCAGGGCATATATGTTCATTTTGGGTTCAGTCCCCAGTTGGGGTGCTGTGGGAGGCAACTGATTGATGTTTCTCTCTGTCTCCCTTCCTCTCCCTCTAAAATCAGTAAACATACCCTTGGGTGAGGATTTAAAAATTTATTTTAAAATATTGACTGACTATATTGCAAGGGTTTACTTCTGGGTTCTCAATTCTGTTCTGTTTGTGTGTCTATTTTTATGCCAGTAGACAACTGTGTGATAATTATGGCTTTGTAATACAGTTTGAAATCAGGAGGTGTGTGTGCTGCCTCAGGTGTGCTTCTGTCTCTGGACTGCTTTGCCTCTTTGGGGTCTTTTGTAGCTCCACATAAATTTTGGGATTGTTTTTTCTGTTTTCGTGAAAAACGCCATTGGAGGTGGGTTTTTTTTTCCTTAAGATTTTATTTATATATTTTTAGACAGAGGGGAAGGGAGGGAGAAAGAGAAGGAGAGAAACATCAATGTGTGGTTGCCTCTCATGTGCCTCACACTGGGGACCTGGCCCACAACCCGGGCATGTGCCCTGACTGGGAGTCAGACCGGCGACCCTTTGGTTCTTGGGCTGTTGTCACTCAGTCCACTGAGCCACACCAGCCAGGGTGCCGTAGGGATTACAGTGAATTTATAAATGACTTTAGGTAATACAGACATTTTGACAATATTAATTATTCTAATTCATGAACATGGGATATCCTTCCATTTGTGTCTTTTTTCTGTTCATCATATTACACAATTTTCAGTGTACAGATTTTTCACCTCCTTAGTTAAATTTATTCCTAAATATTTTACTCTTTTTTATGCTGTTAATAAATGAGATTGTTTTCTTAATTTCTCTTTCTGGTTGTTGTTAGTGTATAGAGATTTGACTGATTCTTGTATATTGATTTTGTATCCTGTAACTTTACTGAATTTACTTATTAGTTCTAACTGGGTTCTTTTGGTGGAGTCATAAGGGTTTTCTATATATAAGATCATATCATGTACACATAGAGAGTTTTACATCTTTCTCTTTAATTTGAGTGCCTTTTATTATTGTTTTTTGTTTGTTTGTTTTTTCCTTACCTAACTCCTCTGGCTAAAACTTTCATTACTCTGTTGAATAACAGTGGTGAAAGTGGGCACCCTTTGTCTTGATCCTGTTCTTAGAGGAAAAGCTTTCAACCTTTCACCTTTGACTAGCTGTGGGCTGGTCATCTATGGTTTTTACTGTGTTGGGGTCCATTCCTTCTATACCCAATTTGTTGGGAGTTTTTATCGTAAAATGATGTTGTATTTTGTCAAATGCTTTTTATCTTTGTGTTCTGTAGATGCTTATGTCCTAGATGGTTTATGGCAAGAATAATTGCTAGTCATGTTGCATTTTTTCACTATGAAGAACAATGTACAGAAATACTCTAAAGTTCCTTTGTAATGTACAACTTAAAAAATATTTTGCCAAGTGTTCATTGTACTCACTTTGAATTTGATATATGTCACAAAATTTTTATAAATTTTTAAAGAATCGTTATGGAAAACAAAATGCATGAATACCGCAAGAAGGACTCAATATCTGAGAAACATCCTGGGAATGCTTCTAGGGTATAAATATATGATCTCAGAATGTGAATGTTCCAAGATAAATTCTTTTCTAAGAAATGCTTGTTAAATTATGTTTAATTATACTTACTATATGCCAAGCCCTTAAATTAGGGAAAACTATTTTAATGAAGAAAGTTATTAAGAAAATAAGATGAGAACTATGTGGTAACTTAAAGTTTGTGATTATTTGAAAGCTTTATTCAGAATTACCAGAAAGATTCTTTGCCTCTTTAGATTAAAACAAGTTCTGGCGTAGGATTTTCTCTAAGCTAGGTCAGTTATTTGTGAAAGTGATTAACAGGATTTTCCTACATAAGCTTTGCCAAACATTGGTTTGGAATCACAGCCTTTTTTTTTCTTGGAAAAGTCTGGTTTTTTTAATAATGACTTTATTTAGATTTAATTCACATACTATAAAATTCACTCTTTAATGTGTATACTTCAGTGCTTTTTGCATATTCACAGAATTGTACAACTACTACCACTTTCTAAATCCAGAATATTTTTATAACTGTTAAAGGAAAAAGAGCCCTGGCTGGTGCAGCTCAGTGGATTGAGTGCGGGACTGTGAAGCAAAGGGTCA